TTCCAGAAAGGTGAGAATTAGTATTTCACCAACAGGTCAATAATTTTGAGAATTCAAAGATAGCTTATCACTAGTAATTAGTTTGGTTGAGTCGAATCCTGAGAAAAGGATTGAAAAAGACTGGCAACCAGAGTGTCAAGGAAGAGCTTTCAGAAGCTCTTTATGTTTGTAATTCTATTTGATTCTAATCAAGAAAGGGCAGGATAAGTGCCTAGGACTTGAGGATATATTTTTTTTTTTGAGACAGGGTCTCACTATGTAGTTGAGACTGACCTAGAACTCACTTTGTAGCCCAGGCTGGTCTCAAACTCACAGTGATCCTCCTGCCTCAGCCTCCCGAGTGCTAGGATTACAGGCATGCGCCACCATGCCCGGTGAGGATTTTCAATTGCTTTGTCTCTCTCCACCTGTTGTGATGATATCTCTGGCATCATCCAGGTTAACATTTTCCCCAAATTTCCAATTTCCATAGGCACATTAACAAATATTTGTGCTGAAAAATGATTCTGAGCTTAAATAAGTTTGGAGCACCCAGAGTCAAAGTTTAAAAGACCTGTTGTCTCTGGGCCTTCTTGAAAACCTTAATATGTTAATAAACACTGGACCCTCCAAGAGGGACCCACAAAACACCAGCTTCCCCATTTGACTGCACTTAACTGTGAACCATATTTTTCATAAACGGTTTCTTTCAAAAAGTGTGTGGAATCCAGGCATGGTGGCACACATCTGTAATTATAGCAGTCTTGGAGGCTGAGACAGGAGGATTGCAAGTCTGAGCCTTTACTAGGCAATTTAGCAATATCTTGTCTTTAAAACAATGAGGATGATGTAATCAGTGTGAACAGTGTGAAGCATCTGGGTTCAATCTCCAGAAAGAAGCCAAACAGCTAACCAAAAACTAAAAGCTGACACCAAAAACCTAAACTGGTACATTCTGCCTTGAGAAATGCTGGTCTAGAGAAGCTGAATTTAACAGACTGCAGAAGAACTTAATAATCTCTAAATATGAAGCAGAGAATAGAAACTTGCGTGGGTGGATGTATAGGATAGGAGATTTCTGGAAATATCAGTGGTTAATGAAAACCCCTTTGGGAAAGTAAAGGAATCACACTATTGAGATTTAGAGGGAAGACAAGTTAACAAAAGCCACCGATCCTATTTAACACATTAGGTTTCCAAACAAACCTATATTTATAGGTGTTCAAAATCTGAGACCACTGGTAAAATTCATCTCATTTGGGCTTGAGTTTTGTGTGCAAATGAAGATAGTGATGCCTGCCTCATCAGGCAGGGGTGCAGGGAGTAATGGGGACGATATGGACACAATCATCAGTACAAAGAAGGTACTGTGGTTCTCATGGTGACACGTGGCTACTTGGGGGAGGACTCGAGTGGTATCCTTCCTTTGTTTTGCAGGATTTCCAGGACATGATGTTAGATTCATATGAAGATCACCTGAGGGAACAATTTCAAAATATGCACGCTCAGGTCCCTGTTCAGGCCTAGGGAATCACAATTTACTAGTGACGGTAGGGAAGGATGGATGCATGTATATTTTAATACGTTTCCTCAGGGATGACTATGCTAACACCCTCAAGCTTCCGTAATGTTATCTGCAGCAAATCTCTAAGTGCTGGGCCATTGACCCTATGATACTTCTGGGATAGAATCCCTGGGACAAAAAGTTTCTGTGCTTCCATGTTTAAAAACAGGCAAGTATTAGGGAAGGATGGATGCATGTATATTTTAATACGTTTCCTCAGGGATGACTATGCTAACACCCTCAAGCTTCCGTAATGTTATCTGCAGCAAATCTCTAAGTGCTGGGCCATTGACCCTATGATACTTCTGGGATAGAATCCCTGGGACAAAAAGTTTCTGTGCTTCCATGTTTAAAAATGCAGGCAAGTATCTGCTCCTCTTCTTCTTGGGGCTTATTAAAATACCAGAGAGGTTTTGCAGTACACAGTATTTGAAACATGTAAACTACTGCCTTCTGATCTTGACTTGGCAGCACTTAACGTATTTGGGAATTCTCATCCATGTCTTCATTCAAATCATCAGGGCAATCCTAGGATATAGCATTAGCCAAATGGTATCCATCCTCAGGAAGCTTTTTGTGCTACAAAAGGGAGAAGCAAGGTAGCAAAGAGCAGGCAAAAGTCTTCCTCCCCAGCGGGGGGTGACATTTAATCCTTCTGGCCACCTGCTACTTCCATGAGGAAAGAATACTGAAAGCGACAAAACAAGTGCATCTGAGCCAGCATCTGTAGGTAAACAAAGGGCCAGGGAGCTGAGTGACTGCAGACTTCCCGAGCTGGGGCTCTAGATAAACTTGGCTTTGAGTTCTGGTTCTGACTGACCCAGCTCAGTGATGGTGGGCAAGATGCATGCACTCTCCACCGTCCAGCATCCTCAGGTGTAAATGGAGACAGTGATAGTTCTATGTCTAAGGCTGTTGTGAAGATAAATGAGATGATCATACAAAGCCCATAGTGTGGGCTCAGGTTTTTTATTGAATTAGGAAAAAAATACTCTTGAGCAAAGGGAAGGGGAGAATCAAAACAAGGACAGAGAACTTTGGAAATCTTCAAGGTCAAATAAATCTTTTCATGCATGAATTTACTTTTTTAAAGTGCCAAGTGCCGTGTGAGAATTCAGGGTTAGAGTTCAAGAGACTTATTAAATTGGCTGGTTCATAGCACCGGAGTGTGAATGACCCTTTCCCCTGACTTCATTCTAGTTAAATCCCCAGCTATTAATTAACATGCAAGAAATAGTTTGGGAGCTGTTGCCAAAGACAGAAAGGAAAGGGACTGGGTAAAATACAACAACACTGAAATGACTGCCCAAGAAAGAGTGAAAAAGATCCAGGATTGGTTGCGGAGTTTGAGGTTAGGGAGGATGAAGGAGAGAGTCAGAAGCAAATCCAAGTTTACTGCTCTTAGAATTTAAAGAAATAATAAAAGCCTCAGCAGGCCATGCATACAGTCAGGCTAAGGTGTCAGAAGTTTACATGCAGGTACATGTGCACACATGCACATTCCTACCTGCATGTGTACACATGTGTGTACAATGCATATTTATTACGTATTAAGTAACAATGCAAAAGGCTCAAAAACTGTTGGTCAAGAAATCTGGCCCCCTGGCCCTGGGCCCCGATGTGGATTGCTGCTGCTGGTCTAGAATTCTGAGCTTTGACCAGAGCTGCTCCTGCCTTTCTGTAAACACTGTAGTGACTCAGAGCATGTGGGAGGGACAAGCAAAGGGGCAACAAACCCAGAGGCCACGCCTCAGCTCAGGGACTGACTCAGCCTGTAGACCAATGGGCAGAAGGCTGTCCAGTGATGAATGATCACGAAAAGCAAGGGTCATTCCCATTTCCAGTGGCAGCAAAGGCAGCCACAGGAGGAGGAATACTGTCACAAAGTAGGGTGCAAATTCTGTAGCTTGTTATTCACTTTCCTTGTTCAATTGCAATATCAAGAGCAAAAATATGGGAGAGCTGTTAGCATTCTTCTTAAAAGGACAAGAGGCGACTTTGGAGGACCCAGTGCACACCAAAGGATTCATTATCTTTTGGTGTTACTGAACCTAAGGCTTTTGCTCTGAGCTAAGCCCCAGCTCATTTTATTTTTTGTGTTGAGATAGGATCTTACTAAGTCACTCAGTTTCCCAGGCCAGGTTTGAACTTGTGATCCTCCTGCCTTAGTCTCCCAGAGACTAAGGGGATTGGAGGTGTATGCTACTGTGTGCAGCGAAAAGATGACTTTATGAGAAGTGCTTGTCAAATGCTTTGGGAGGGGCGAGGTGAGGCGGGCTGTGCCTGTGCTTCTCCTTTGGAGAAGGATCCATTTCGATGAGTGAACTCCAGCTTTTGAGACCCTCTGAGGAATGATGAATTTGCCTTCTTTCTCCCCAGTCCTCTGATTTCATTTGATTTCTCTTCAGCCAATGAGTGTCAGAGTGAAGAAAAATGAAGTTATTCTTTCCTACGGCTACAGAAAGGTGTCAGGTTGGAAATGAAGCCCCACAAAGGAAGTTTTAATTGAAAATCAGAATATCACATCCAGCCTCAATAACTCAACACTCATTGGCTGCAAAAACCATTTCTATTAGTACCAACTCCTTTTCAACAATTCCTTCTATATTGTGCAAAGTGCTTTTCTTGTATGCTTCATTTTCTGCTATACATGGCAATAAATATTTGTTGCTTTGGTCTGTACAGAAAGTTTCTGAGGAAGAAGTACCAACTATTTATTAATCTTTATCCAATGCCTGCCTTCATGCTAAATGAATGATGAATGTATCAGTACTGCCCAGAATTACCCTATAGGGAAGGTATCATTTTGTCCCCATTTTCCAGGTGAAGAAACCAAGATGACTTGCCTAAGGTGAGACGGCTGATAAGTGGTAGTGTTTGTTCTTTAAATCCGGGTATATGACCCCAGAGCCTGAGCTCATAATCACCAAACAATAATGCATTCCCTAGGATGTCCAAGGTACCAGCGATATAAGTTTGAGGACTGAAAGAGAAAGTGTCAGTGATGACTTCCTGCCTGCAAAAAGAAAGGTAGAAATGGAAAAATAGTTACTAATGTCTTACTGCTGCTTAGAAAGGGGCAAAGCAGGAGGGGGATGGTATCAGAGCTGAGCTGGGAAGAATGAGTTGGAGTGAACACAGAAGAGAGGTCTGAACAGAAGTAGGTGAACAGTTCTTACAGTCCTGGGTTGTGAGGTCAGAGTAATTTCAAAAATAAACAGAGTGAGTCCCCATTTAGGAATGGTGACATCATTAGCAAGTTATTTACCTTCTCTAAGCCTCAGTTTCCTCATCAAGATATGGACATAAAATCTGTTTCAGAGGAGCCAGTGCTTCTAACATGCTTGGAAAAGAGGTATTAACTACTTTCCTCTGTATGTAAGATTCAATTTTCCAGGAGCATCAGCTTGCTGCCTCCTTGCAAGGTCTGCCTTGACGATCGTAGAATGGGTCTTACCTGCTGTGAGAAGCCCTTCACCACACATCTTTGCTTCAGGTTCGTCTCTCCATCCAGGTTGGCAGTTTCTAGGTGGCAGATCCCACTGGGGTCTGAGGAGAAGAGGAGCAGGATGTCTGCAGGGATGACTTCATTGCACTGCATCTGGACAAAGTCTCCCACACGCACATCCTTCCACCGTTTCTGCACGAAGCTCTGCTCTCTCCTTGGGTGGAAGAAAGACAGGGATCTCAATGAGTTTTAAGATGCCTCAGGAAACTAATCCATACCTAAATATTTCCCAAGTCTTCCTGTCACAAGACTGCTCTAGATGCTCCCTGACCCCAAATGGCCACCATCATAATCTCTGTAAGATAATGAGGCATGATTTATAGCATTCCATTAGTAAAGGATTTGTCCTTGTGATTATTTAGAATTTTTATTAACTGTAGGCTATTGGCTATTGAACAGGCTATTAGCTTTTGCCTCCTTAGCAAGAGAAAAAAATTTAAAAGGGACTTAATTATATATGAATGGTATTGTTAATGTATGTCACTTGCAGGCATAGCCACTAATTACCAAAGACCAAAGAAAACAAAGTTATAAAAAACTGGGATCAAGATTTTTTTTTTGGTACTGATGTTTGATTCCAAGACCCTGGCACTGAGCTATATTCCAAGCCCTTTTTTCTTGAAATTTTGAGACAGGGTCTAAGTCACCGAGTTGCCCAGGGTGCACTTGAACTTGCAATCTTTCTACATCAGCATCTCAGAGTGCTAGGAATAGAGGTATTTAACAGGACATGCAGCTAGATTGTTTTGATCAAGGGGAGAATGGCAGTAATAAAGGTGAAGACACTGGCCACTATCTAGGGATATTTAGGGCAGTGGTAAAAAAGAACTGTCCAAAGCCAAGGCATTTGGAAGAAGGCACCAGAAACTTTGATGGGAAGGGACTCTCAGTGACCACAGAATCCCCAGGCTGAGGAAATCTGAGGAAATGACGCATTCCATCTTCTTATTCAATTTATTAAGCTTGGATAATAGGGGTAGCAATAATCATGAATTTAGCATTTCTAACATGCTGAGCACTAATGTCATTAATAATTCATCTACTCACATAATCATCTGTTGGCATAAATAAATATTTTTCCCCAAAGCCTCCAAAAACAGAAGTGAAATACGAGCTTGGACCCAACCTGATACCAAAGCCCACAGGTGCACTGCTCAGTCTGCAAACCCCTCTTTGGTGGCGTCAGCTCCGCACTCTCTCCCCCAGCACAGGTGCCCACCACATTCGGGTTTCACATCTTCTGGGGACATCTTTTGGTTTAGTCCAATATTTAATGATGAGTTCTGCTCTCCTAAAGAATCAAGTCTATCCCACTGTCCACTTTAAAAAAATATTTTAAGGAATCCATCAGCATTCTTATAAAGCCTTTTGTGCGATGCCAGTCCACTTTCAAAGTGTCCTGAGTTATTCTCTGTATAACAGTTTCATTGTCTGTCCTGGAGGTGGGGGCTCTTCTTGGGCTGATTTGGAATATTCCTCTTTCAACATGGCCTTTGGAACCTGTCCAGTGGTCCACACGTGGTCTTTTTAGCTGAACGCAACTGGCTTGAAGCTGGGCACCTCCTGAGCACAACCAGGCTTGGAGCACTGGATTCTGTTTTGTGCTTGCTACGCTGCAGCTGAGGCCCTAAGGGCACGTTACTGTTTCTGATGGAATCTGAGCAGCCCTGGGCCTTACCAGTCCATTTTATCACATAGAAAGGGATGTGAACAATAACCCCAAGAAGGATGAGGTGTTTGCTGTCCTCCTTGCCTTCTGCGGCTCTCTGGAGAAACCCAGACAGGCCTTTGCTGGTCATAAGGAATCCCTCCCCAAGTCTTCCTCGAGCCTCTGAAAGGAAGGTGTTTACATTTGGAAGGCCGAGGGAAGACTAATCTTTAAAAGAATCAGAGACATTAGAATTGGGGAGCGGCGATGTGGAGGTGACCCCTGGGCATGAGGTCTCAGTACTGCAAACCTAATTCAACCAATCCATGGGCAACTCCACGCAAGTGGCTACTGAGACCACTTCTGAGCATTTGGGGGCAGTGTGCCTGGAGCATTTTAGTCTCATTTCTCCCTTACGTGCACAAGCATACAAGTACCTCTGAACTATCTCAGTCTGTGCTTCTACTCTACCTCATGTCACTTTTTAAAAATGAAGAACAGGGACAGTCACAGTGGGTTGTTTCCCTGAGTTGCCTCAGAAATACCTGTTTCAAACTTTGCTTATTTATGCTTAGGGTGGATGCCTTTCCACCAAGCTAACTGGCTAATTCATCACGTCTCTTTGCTGACTCAGGACCATACTACTGTTTTTTCACAGAGTAGGTCTGGGATTGCTGTTTAAATATTCAAGCATAAGGCACTTTAAAGGCATTGGAATGGTCCGAACCTTCAGGGAACAAAGGATTCTCACACACTGAAGGAGGGACTGTTTTTTTATGGTACTGTTTTTCTATTTTGACAGACAGCTTTAAAAAAGGGTGGTTAAACATTATAGCAAAATTGCCAAAAGGAACAAGAGATTATCATTCCTCTAATCTGCCTCTTCCCTTCCTTTTTTTGTTTGACCTATGTGTTCTACTAGACAATGCTTTGGGGCTGTGGGGTATCAGTCGCGCTATAACCTCAACATTCCATGTGGTATTTGAGGTTGGATTTAGGAATAACATCTCTGAGCAACATCCTGATGGCCAGCACTTTCAGAGCGCACTGGTGTAAAGGATGAAGGATTTGGCCAAGGGCGGCTGGGATTGCTGCATTCTGAGATAAAGTAAAGTCGAAGCCCCAGTACTTTGTCTATGAACACTGAATCTCATTCTTCCCTTTCTAATAAGGGACTCCACTGCTTATTATGGAAGGTGGAAGCCTGCGGACATGAGCTCCAGCATATACGTATATGAGCAGTCAGTTCTATACATGGGCTGGGTGTTGTCCTGTCCATCCCCACCCTGATGGAGGCATCAAAAGATGGAGGAGACACTCCCAAGCCATGTGCCAGACCAGCCTCTGTCTTATTTCCGTTTCTCCTTGGAGTCCAAGGAGATCACCGCTGTATCGGCAACGGTTGCCTCTGCCATTCTTCTCGATGCAGGCCTCTCTTCTTTAGGACAGCACACAGGAGGGAAAGGACTTTTCCGGTTACTGGTTTGCCCTCCCCCAGACAGGACCTGCCTAACTTTGGTTTTGTGCTCTTCAGACAGGCACATATACCATCTCTCCAGATAAACCACTTCTGGGTATCCAGAGGGACTAAAGCTATAGGCTCAACATGGCTTTGAGGTATTTTTTTTTTTTTAAATAAAGTTTTGGTGGTAGACATAGTTTGGTAACACATGATTTGAAGAAGTTCATTTATAGCAACCTAGCTATAGCTATGGAATATGAGGCAGCACTCACAGAACATTTAGTGATAAGATAAACGAGACACGGAGAGAATTTCCTTCTTGCAGTTGTCCCCTTTGCGCAGGTCATCCAGTTCTCTGGGGTCTCCTTACCTTTCCCACTGTCAGGGAGTGTGTCTACGGAGAAGCCAGGGCTGCACAGCCCAAGGGGTGAGAGGCAGAACGCACTGAAGCAGCGAAGTGGGCGCTTCTGCAGGGGGTTACACCCAGCTGTGACCCAAAGCTGGCTAAGCTGCCTGCGGGAGTCAGTCCCTCATTAATCCAGCTGCCCCAGGTGGACCCACCCACAGGCTCTCCATTGTCCCCCCCACTTCGCTAGTTTGCACCTGGAAACTTACTGCTATTTTAGTTTCGTGCCATAGTCACTGCTGTTCAAAAATAAGGCAAATCAACACGGCTTGGGACAAAGACTCCATCTGGCAGACTCTGCCTTGAGGAGAAGTTAAGTGGTGCAATGTTAAGCAGCTTTCTGAGAGGGGGATAGGGCTTATTAAGAGGTAGATAAACATCAAGAGAGGTTTGTAATCAACTGTGTTCCACAGGGGAACAGGTGAGAGGGTAGGAAGAGAGGAGAAGAGGCCACTTGCAGCTCCAATAACTGGGTTTTCTAAAAAGAATCTCCGAGTACTCTAGGAGAGATGTGTCAGGAGGATAAGCTGTCTGGCGGAAATTGCTATTCAAAATAAGAGGATGAGTTGACCCGAGCTGTCATTTAAAGCTTAAATGCCAGGCCCAGGACTCACTGAGCTCCCGCCCTGGGGGCAGGGGTAGAGAGTACCAAGAAGAATGAGTGTAGTACGTGGATTAAGAACATCTTCGAATCCTGTGTGACCTTGGGAAAGTTACTTAGCCTCTCAGAGCCTCTGTTTCTTCACCTGCCATTTGAAGGCACAGAGCTGCTGAGAGGTGGGGGGACACGAGCCCCAGAAAGGACTGAGCTCATGGTTTTGCACTTCTAAGTTCTCCATAAATAGAGGCTTCCTTTATTGTGAGGAGGGCAACAGCCATAATGATTACTAATAATATGGTGTTGTCAAAACACCAGCCTGCAGCCCTCAGAGCTTTCTCCTTCGTGTTATTTTGTGCTTCTAACTACGTTCCATGGCTTGGGCTCAGGCAACAGCAACCTGCAAACATAAGAAGCTGTACAAATCCAAATCTTTTGTTAAACCCAGAAAAGAAGCACCAAGTTGAACACTTCAGGTTCTGGAGGGTGGTGACCAGGACACATTCCCAGATGTGTACATCTCTAAAATCTGGGCTGGAGATGTTTTAAAGCTCCAGTTCAATCTCCACTCTTCAGGTGGAGAAACTGAGGCTGGGGACAGGGCATGACTCAGCTACTGTGCACAGTAATCTAGTTGAGTCTGGACCTTGACCTCTTCCTGCAGTGACAAGGAGAATCAAAGGGCTGCTGGCTGATTTGGGGGTCCTTGTAATGTCTCCTGGTGAGCAGTACTATGTTACATTGGAGACATATGGTAGCCAAGAAGTTTTGGAGTCAGATGAATTGCCAGTAACACTGGGAACTACCTTTTCGGTGAAGTGCGCCCTTGAACCTCCTACTTAACTTTCTGACCCTCAGTTTATTCTTTTATCAAATGGACAAATCTCTTCCACAGCTTGTAGTGAAACTGGAAGTAATAAACTGTCTAATAACCTCACAGTAAATGGTGTTTATGGCTGCTAATGCTATCATTGTAGTTACTATGTAACTTGGAGCTGAGGGATCAATGCTTTGGAGACAATCGTCTAGAGACTGCTGTA